CGGTTTCCGTTCATCTTTGAGCGTTTTATTTTGGCGAGTAGATGTTCGGCAGTTGATTTAGGGGGCCAACTCTCATGAACTACTGCCAAAATCTCTCGAACCTTCATCCAGCTCAACAGGTTCAGAGACGTGGAGCCTTTGCGAGGTTTCGGTTGCGAAAAGATACTTCCTAGTGGCCGTTGGCGCCGCCGGCTCAGCCTATCGGAGCGAGCTCATGCAATGTTTCCAGGCTTCATGGCTTCATCACTTTGTTCGACCCTGCCTAGTGATGCGGTTCTGCGTCCATGCTCAAATATCATACAGTCGTGGCCTGCTTAAATGGTCCCCTAAACAATTAGAAGCAGGGCGATGGTGCCATTACGTCGCTTCATTATGGTATCAAAAAAGAAAGTGTTAACATTATTTAGTTCTTTAATTACAAATGTTTACGTTTTGCTTTTTCTGCTGCAATGCAATAGGTCTTATCTTACTGAGGGAATCGGAAGAGTGACTACCTCAGGGTCAGCATTGTCAGCTACCCTGAAAGGTTGTCACCTTGCCTCTTTGATTCGCCGCTGACGTTCAGCGTTTATTATCCTGAATGCGTTCAGGTAGCAGAAGATTCTGGACGAGATAATTTAGTATTTACCAAAGATGACCCTGATATTATGGGTTAACTGCTATCAATCATAATTGCTAGCAATATGTCGAAGAACTAACTAGTGTCACTTCACTGAATGTCACCGGTACCACGTCGCCTGAACAGTGCCCATGACTGTCATTGTGAAGAAGAGGAATTCATTGCCGAGCTAAAAAGCAAATCAATCCATTCTTTCCCTCGTCTGGTCGACGGATAACATCTGCGTAAACCCTGAACAGTAATAGAGGTAGAACGCAACTCCATATGAACTTCTGAAATACGCAATTACAGACAACAGACTAGAAATCAGTTGAAAGTTGATGACAATCTAAGCATAAGACAAAAGCAAATTCTCAACGCAACGGTGTCAATTTCATCTTATGTTGTGCTACTCGTTGTGGTACAGATGGCATTCATGTGAAACTCAGCATAGATAAATATGCAATACACGATTTTGGAACACTCGGTCACGCCTGACCCCCTTTTCAGGTATGCATAATTATTCCAAACTTCTATTTTCCTTGAAAATGTTTGTAGGTCCACCCTTGATGAAATAGGGCATGGAACATCCCTACCATTCTAATTCCTCCATTTTCAATCAATTCCTGAAGAACTCACCTTCTTCATCATCAGGTGTAGCAACGCATCTTGCATATCGAGTTTTGCGGGTGGGCCTGCACAAACCTCCACTGTTGGCAGAGAACTAACAGTTGGGAATGACGAATGTGGATTGCAGCCGTTGAGCAGCTGCTGGAAATGTTCAGGCTATCTTTGGAAACATTCCTTTTGATCTGCCAGTGGGACAGCTTTAGAGTCCTGGATAAGGCAAGATTGAGTCCCATGCTTGCCTACCAACTGTCACCCAATTTGAACACTGTTTTTCACTCACTTCTTTTGAATGCATTGTCGATCTTTCTGATTTCCCCTTCAGGTAAAGTTCCCAGATCCGACTTTAGTTCTGGTTGATACAGGAGATGGCGACGAGCTGCTTTATAAAGTACAATAGAGCATTTTTGCCTG